ATTTAAATAGCATACATTAAAAAAAGGCCTTGGGGCACACTTTGAACAATGAAGAGAAAACCAAATAGCAGATGATTAACTGAGCCATGCTCATCATGTGCATTAACTGAAGTAGGAGTTCTCTGGCAAAAACAAATAGTGTGTGATCATGTCATTAAAAACTGTATCTTAAGGTACATGCATAATGAGCCTGAATGAGAGGGTTACAGGAAGCATCAAATCTGCCATTTCTAATTTTTGAGCACCTAGGTTTGCAATTTTTCCTTAGATTTTCTGTGTGTAGTATGACTAATTGACCATCTGATAAACTTCCTGAATGTGGGAAAGGTATAGATGCCTCAAAAATTTGGGCTGATGTCAGAGTTAGTTCAGTGTCTAAGTGTGCTGAAGGGGTACTTGGAATGGATGATCTATGGTTCCTGACCACAGTATCCTGTCCACTGGAGATAAGAGGCATAAGCCAGTCCAAAGCATACAGGAACATGGAGGATTTCTTAGTGTTCCTCACCAGCACTTATACTCACATCTCATTCCCTACGGACCGGTAGAAGCACCTGTAAATCCAACAACAACTTATACAGTAGTAAATGTCAGTTCCGATTGATCTTGGATTTTATCAATTGTTGCTCAGCATTGTCAATTAGCACACCTGGCTACACTGCTTGTGCGGGAGGTGGGGGGGATAAGGAGTGGGGAGCCATATGCAGATGAGGGTAGTACAGTGGTTCTCAACTGGGGTGCTGCATCACCCTTTCAGGGGTGCTGCACTACTGATGCTGCGTGTCTCCTGCACAGTCAGATTGGGAAGGGCCATAGCATGAGCATGTGCTTCTACCTCCATTAGGGTTATCTGATAAGATCAAAGGAGACTCAGGAGTACCTGAGTTTGCCACAGCCCTTTCCTGGTCTAACCCTGCACAGTGGTTTCCCAGAAACAGGCTTATGGGGCAGGCAGAGCAGTGGTGCCAGTACTGAGGTAAGCTGGGTCTTAACTGTGATGATACCAAATTTTAAGAAGTTATGGAGGGATGCCCTGAATCTAAAAAGGCTGAGAATCCCTGGGGTAGCATATTGAGGGAGCTACTGCTGGGCTGAATAAATTTCCTGTCTAGACGTGGCCCAAGTGCCTTTGAGAGCACTGTGATTCCAGGAGGCGTAGGGGCAGGCAATTATTTCAGGCGCTTACTGAGTTTTGGGAAGCTGTTGAGGCCCACATTGGTAGCCCTGCCCCTTGACAGATGCCCCACCCCCTGGTCACCACCTTTGCCACCAGAAGTCTCTCTCCTTGCCATTGAAAATACTCCTTTCAGCAAGGGGTTTTGCCATCTTGGAACCAGAAAAATACCAAATTATTTTCTAAGAATTGAACATCTACAACATCCATTAATTTGGTTTCAAAAAAATATTTGGGTCCTGATTTACATTTGTTTGTGTAGTGTACATAGAGGTGATTGCTCAATAGCTTAAAATGAAGCCTTACTCTTGTATATTGTGGGGAGCATGGGTATACATTCGTGGGGAGCTGTTGGTGTGTGGGTATGTGGGGTGTGGGGGAAGGTGTGAGTGTGGGGATATGAGTGTGGGGTGAGGGAGCATGTGGGTGTATATGTGGATATGTGGGGTGTGGGTGGGTATGGGGTTTGTGCGGGATTGTGTATGGCGGGAGGGTGGCTGGGGTGTGTGAGAGGGTGTGGGTGTTGGGGTCTGCGTGTATGGCAGTGCAAGGGGGGTATGGGTGCATATGTATGGTAGGGCATGCATGTGGGACTTGCCCTATGCACACACACACACACACACACACACACACACAGAGTCTCTCCCTCCCTCATTGCTCTCTCTGTCTCTCTCTCTCCCCCTCCCTCATTGCAGGGACATGCACACACATGCACAAACACCCTCCCACTCCTGGCCCTGGGGTACCTGCGCGGTCCTTGTGCTCCCACAGTCCAGTGATGCAACTGGGGGCCACATGGTGCTGGAGTGGCCAGCTGGCATGCAGGGAAGCAGTTAAAGCTGTGGCAGGAAGAGACTTCTGGTTGAGGGGGGCGGGGAGGACTGCCCCTGGCTCCTGTCATCTTTGACAGGCAACCAGGAGCAGATAAATATACATTTTCTAAATTTTTTAGGCCCCCCAGATAGAATGGCCTGGTGCGCTGAATCTGGCCCGTGGGCCATATTTTGCCTGCCACTGTACTATCAGAAGCTCTATACCCATGTCCCATACTCATGTGTATGTATACAATGACCCAATGCCCTAGTAGGGCAAACAGGATATGCATGGTAACATTTATCTTTACAGGAGATAGACACTTCTCTCTTTATTTTGGGTCAGAACTTTCCAAATGGCAGCCTGCATCTGGCAGGTGAGGGATGAAAGTGTGGTCTGTCGGCTCCTGCCCAGCTACCACTCCCCCCACTACTCGTTGTGGCTGGAGTCTGGAGGTGGCCCAGTACACTCACTGCCTGGGGGTCGGGGGAAGTTTGGGCTGTCTGCACAGCTGTGGTGGCAGAGGAAAGGCAAGGTCTGGGCAGGGAGGAGGAGAGAGCTGAATAGGGGCTTGTGCATTAGTGGAAAGAGGAGGGCACTCTCCCACATGGCAGTGGTCGTGGGGGGAAGAGTGGGTTTACATGGCAGTGGTGTGTGAGAGGGGACTTGCTAGCTTGATGGCATCAGTGGGAGTAGGCTTGTGCTGTGCTGGTGGGGAGAAAGGGAGCTTGCTAAGCCCACACAGCATTGGGGTGCTTCTGTAGTAGTAGAGGTGGGGGCAGCTCATGCTGCTTGCATGGCAAGGGGGGCTGTGTACAGTGTAGGTTGCAGGGACTACATGTCATGGGCCCCTGAGGTATGTGGCTTGGGGCCTGTGACTAGTGTTGCATGCAGCCACCAGCTGCTTTGAAGTTGAGCAGCCCTGTTGTGGGCCTGGTTCATGTCATAAATTGTGATAGGAGTATGTAATGTGGACATGTAAAGGGAAAGCAAATGGGGTTGGTTGCTTGTTCTGTTATTCCTTTGCATGGCTCTGTGGCAGATTGAGAATGTGTCCTGCTTAACTGACTACTGAGAAGGGCATTAAGGCCACTTAATGGATCAACAGTATACATGGCAGGGTGGGTATACCAGCTGTCTCCAGCACTGTGGACCATGGGCTGGGATATTATATGGTATGTTCATTAGCCCATTTCAACATCTATGTTAACTTGTAACCTAGATTCTGGGTAACTCCTGTGCTCACCTACCTTTCTAAGTATAGTAATGACATTAGCAATCCTACTCTGAGTCACAGGATTGGGACAAAGAAACATGTATTATGCTATGATTTATGTTCAGTAGTATCCAAGCATTTTTGTTAGGACTGGGGGTCCAATATGTTAGGGGCCTTGCAATCACATAGTCCCTACTTATCCAGTTGTGCCCAGAAGACCCAACAAACTATTGTGTTAGGCACTTCACAAATATAGTGAAAGACAGTGGGTTCCCTAATAAGCCTACAGTCTAAATGGGCAAGACAAAGGGAATGAGAATAGGTGAAGCCGTTTGGTCAAGATTTCACAAGAGGCCAGTGGCAGACCTAAGAATAGAACCCAAGGTTTCTGATTCATCTGTCCACCAGATCCTGCTGCTTCCTTAGGTCTCTACTCAGTCAGGCAACATGTTGAATGGCTCCAGTTCACTGTTCCTTAGGGTGTAGTGAAAAAGTGTATTGCCGTGATCAGATTGGAAGATGGATGGATAGCCAAGGACATGCATCCTGCCGGAGAACTATCAGAGGGAACAAGAACAACAGGACATCCTAAACTTGGCTACAAAGACACATGCAAGAGAGATATGAAGGCATTTGGAATCGATCCTGACCTATGGGAAACCTTGGCAAGTGATCATAACATCATCTCCATCAAGGCATTAAAGTCCACACAAAAAGTGGATCCACCAGCTTGAAGAGAAAAGAGCCTGTAGGAAGCAAGAAGCTCCCAAACCACCTAACCATGACGTATACATTTGTAACCACTGCCACAGATTATGCAACTCTGATCTTGGACTGTTCAACCACATGAGACACTACAAACAATCTACGTCAGAGGCTGCAATATCCACCATCTCCCGCAGACAAACGGATGTCAAACTGCCTTGACCTGGAACTTTCAAATGGGGTCTGGATTTTGTTAACAGTTTTGATCTTCAGATAAGGTTCATAGACTCAAACCTTTCATTTGAACCTCCTCCCCTACCCCCCCCAAATTAGGACTATGTCAGATTAAAGATTTTAGGTTTGACCCCTCCTGTAACAAAGATGACACTGTGCTTATTACAACACACGTTTAATTTTACAAGGAATGACCACCCCACCTCAGCGGGTCTAATGACTTTGTGGAGGTTGCAGCTCGCTCCCTTCAGTGTCTTCAGTTATCGTGCAACTCTGAACTCCCAAGGGTGAAGAGAAACCCACGTGACCTGGCTGGGTTTCATATTGCTTTGCTTAAAAAGAAAAGAGAAAGAGAGAGAGAACTCCAGTTAACCTAGTGTTTCTTGACGTACGGCTGTGTGTTGTAACGTCATGTCACATCATGTCACGTCACGTCACATTTATGATGAATACATTTGCATGCACACGTATCTATCTGCTTGTACACTTGAGGATATAAACCTTGTACGTATGCATAACACACACACACACACACACACACACACACAGAGTCTATAAGGTGTGCGTGCTATGTGTGGAGGGTACAAGAGGAGCAGGACCAGCTCTGTGGCTGATGATTAAAGCAACAAGGAGCCCAGCTAGCCAGAGGCATTTTTCAACTAATCAGTGACTTCTTATCCCCTGAAGTTGGAGCCCTCCTCCAGCAAAGGGCCAGCTCCAGTGGGGGACTGTGCGAGGCAGGCAGGCGCTGGCACGCAGTCTTTCCCAAGGTTGTGTTTCCTTTCCTTTTTCCTGAGATTTGGCGCAGGGGGAAGGGGTCGGAGTCACATGGATACAAAGCTTTTGATGAATGTCCAAGCTGCCTGCGCCGGGGCTGCCGCAGGCTTTCAATCCCTCCGTCACACAGGGAGCCGGGAGAGCGGGGACCCGGTGACCCACTCATTTCCTATAGGCTGTGTCCCCTTCCTGACGGGAAGAGCGCCCGCGCTGGTGCTGCTTTGTGCGCCGGGGCCCTGGCCGCACTTGCGGAGCCCCAGCCCCAGCCCCAGCATGTAACTGAGCGGCGGCTCGTGTTGTCCCCTCGGCCGGAGGCGACGCGGGCAACTTTTCCTGCGGGCAGGCGGGCGGGCGAGGAGCCGCGGGAACAATGACAGAGGAGAGCAAAGGGGAAGGGAAAGGGGAAAGCGGGAAGGACCTGGAGAAGCAGCTTCGCCTGCGGGTCTGCGTCCTGACCGAGCTGCTCAAGACGGAGCGGGACTACGTGGGCACCCTGGAGTTCCTCGTGTCGGTGAGCGCGGGCGGGACACGGGGCACTTGTTGCACGCGGGGCAGCCCCGAGGGAGCGGAGGGGGCTGGGGCTCGTCCTGGCGGGGGGAAATCAGGGGTGGGGAGAGATGAAAGCCACCCCTGTGGGAGGCGCAGGGGGGTGGGCAGATGGGCGCGTTGCGGGGCAGAGCGCGACCCCCTCCCCTCTGGGTCCTAAATGGCTGTCCTGGATGTCCCAGGGGCACGTCCCGGGCGCGATGCTCGCTTCAGCTACGCTTCCCTCCACTTTCGGAGCCCCTTGCTCCGAGCCCAAGGCAGTTCCTGGACACTCGTCCTGCACACCCGGCTCTGGGGCAGGGGCTGCGGCAGCTGTTCGCTATTAAAGCCACATGTGGCATCGTCTCCCTCTCCCCGCTCTCGCAGTCTTCCATTGCAGCCCTTTGTAAGGCGCCGCTCGGGGTGGGGAGGGCCGCGGTCTGCTGCAATAACGCATCTTGGAGAGTGTTTTGGAGCAGCTGGTTTCAGCTCCATCCCGGTCTTTACATCCGTGTCAATAGCAAGCTGTATTAGCCAGTACCAGGTAGTAGCAGAAACTCTTGTTTCCTACTAATGTTGCCCTTTGGTTGAGCTAAAAAGAGTATTGTTGTCTCTAGAGAGTCAAACAAGCAGTGTAACCTTTCTTCTCTTTCCTATTTGCCCACAGTATATCAGTGGCATCACTTGAGCTCTCTTTGGGATAAACAGATCTCAAGTCATCAGCGTGGTTTTGCACGGGGTCTCCCATAATAGTCCTGGCATTCTTCCCTCCTCCCCCATCCTGTCTGGGGGGAAATCTTTCAAACAGCAAACTTCCTGCTTAGCTTTCTGAGATCTGAACTTTCTGCTTATTATCATGGAAGAGGAAATTCTCAGCTTGGCGGTGGCAAGAAGAATAGAAGCTCTGACCCTATAGTGGAATCGGCCCTGCAAGAGTAGCCTTCCCCCCTCCCCCTTTTATTCTTAACATCACCCTGCAAAACAATAAGCCAGGCAGTTTGCTTTCTTCTTACAATTGAATGGTGTTGTTGTTTCAATTAATTGAGAATATGGCTGTAAAACTATATTAGACTGTGCTTCTATTTAACAGCCATGCTGTGCTTGCTGATAAAAATGTTGATTTTAAATATGGAGTGTCTGAAAATTGGTTTTCAGGGCCAAATTTGATCTACCTCAGATTATAATGCCTAAATTTACAAAAATGATCAGTAATTTGAATGTTTCAATTTTAGTGTGTTCCACTTAAGATTTGTTTCAGAGTTTTAATGTTGGAAAGCAGGTACTCGGGACTTTCTAAATGCCAGGCTCCTTTAGGTATAATAATGGATTCAGGCCTTCTTTACTTTTGAGAGTTAAGAATGTTCAGGGGCTGATATGTTTTACAGGGCAAAGTTACTAACCTTTTTCTCAGTACCTCACTCATGTCCCAGAAATGCCATCTCTAAGAATAAGAGAAGAGTTCGGGTTGTATAACAATCTTCTCCAGGGGTTCTCTCTCAAGATGGTTGTCAAGAGAAATGGTAGTAGTGGATTTTGTTATAGGGACACCTGTGGGGTGGATGGAGAAACTAAATAATCATTGATAGTTGTGCGGAAGTGGTGACCTGGAAGCTGAAGCCCCTGTTCCTAGGAGTGGGATAATTTTTACATTAGACCATTATTGGTTAAAAACCAGAACCCAGGGCTCACTAAGCTACAGAGTTAGGCTCCTTCTTGCCAGTTGGCATTGTGGTCCCATTACTTTATTTCTTTCTGAATAGTGGCCTACCTTTCATCAGAAGAAGTGTTGAGGCTCCTTACCAGCATAACCTCTGGTCTGGTGTTCAAGTAAATTCTCTTGGGAAGGGTGAAATGGGCATTAAAATTCCCTCAGCCTGAGGAAGGCCTATAACTTAGGTGTCCTTCTTTCTGAATGCTTTAATCACTACAGTGTTATGTGAAAGGTGGGCACTTAATTTCCCTCCCTTCTTCAGCATCCTTTTTGAGTGGGCATGACTGTGGGTGCATTGTTTTGTGCTGAGCTCAAAGTGGCCTTTGTGAATTAGGTGTACTCCATGGGTAACTACTGATTCTGGTGTCTCTGGGCACTTTGACAAGGTTTAGGCACCTCCCACCTCTGATCTGGAGCTGGAGTTAGCCTAGTTTCTTTAAGTGGATTGCTCTTGACCAGGCTCAGAAGCCTATGTCTAAGTGAGTAGGGATCTTTTTGGACCAGAATGGAGGTACATAATGAATTTAGACGATCATGTAGATTTGCAGCTGTTGGAGTGGAGTTGATCTGGTATCCTTTTTGACTTGGCACCTAAGTTCTGCCAAAGTTCTGCTTAGGCACCAGGGGTAGGGGCAGACATTCAAAAAGCCTGAGCCTGTATTGATTCAACCCTTGCAGGTTAGTTTAACCTGGCTAGGCTAAACCAGTTTGTAACTGCACAGACATTCTCGTCGGAGTGAGGAAATTGAGGCACATACCTGCAGTGGCTCAGGCTAGAAGCTGGAGGATGCTAGAGCAGCCCTTCCTTCCCTTCAACACTGCAAAACTGAGGGTGGGCATGGCCAGACCCCATCAGGACTTCTGATTAGGGAGGTTTGCCTGAACCATCACAGGCTTTTTCCTGCTGGCTGCTCAAGGGATGGGAGTGTTGCCAGACCCCAGCCTCAGGCTACGACTCTGAGGCAAGGTGGAGGACAGGAGGTGAAGTGTGCGGTGCATGCATCTGTTGATGATACACGGCTTTTCAACCTCCCTCCCTGCTTCTTTATACTGTCTGCAGCAAACTGACAGGCCAGCAAGCCAGCAGGAGAAAGATAACAGTACTTATCACCCCATTGACAAAACAATAGGCTCTCTTATTAGTTCAAGCTCTTCTTAAACAGCTTTTTCCAAGGAAGGAATGGAGGGATGGTACCAGCTGACCTGTTGATTAGCTCCAAAAAGCCCTCAGTGGACACTGTTCTGTCTGGCTGTCCCAGTGAAATTGGAGACACATGCACAGACACCTCTCAGCATTAGCTAGCATACCACATGTCTAGGGTCCATGGGGCTGGGGTCCATGCTGTTGGAGATGAGAGGGAGGGAGGGAGGGGAGAATCTCTGCTTGAGCAGCAAGGTGGGGTGGGGCAGGGGGAAGCCAGGCAGATCCTGCTGTACCTGCAGTCTCTGCCAGAGCTCTGGCCAGGGAGCAGAGGGGCAGGGCCAGCTTTGCTGTCTGGAGCAGAGAGCTGAGCCCAGAGAGCATGCTGGGATGCTGGGAGAATCTGGTTTACCTTAAACCAGGAAGGGGTCTACGACAGACATTGCATAAACGGGTTTGACCTAAATCAGTTAAGTCTGATACTACATTCACCCAGGTTTATCTTAAACCAGTTTCAGCCATTTTGAAACTGGTTTATGTGGACTGAACTTACATTCTGTTACAAGTTTAAACCAGTTTCTGATTACTTAAACTGGTTTATGTGTAATGTTTATCTGTAGCCCAAAGATCTGGTCCTTTTTGCTATTGAAGATTTTAACTACTGCATGCAAACAGTTTCTATTGAAATAAATAGGAGCATAAAATATTTATTAAGATAAAAAATAAGTTAGGATGAGGTCATGAGATGAAGCCCTTTCTTGTGGGGTCCACAGAAATAGATTTTAAGCTTCATGCAAATGAAATGAAAGTATGGGGCATGGAGGTAGTAATGGGGAAGAGGGTTTTTTTGGCAGTTTCTGCAAGTCTTCTATAAAATATTCAGAAAGGAAATTTTATTTGGCCATCTTATGCATTATAATCAGATTTCCTTGAAGAGTCATAGCCCAAGATGACTTAAGGAGCACTATGATTACAGTGAGAGTCTTAGCAATTCTAAGAAACTGAAAATAGGTAGGGAGCTGATAATAAGCTGAGGGGGCGTGGGTGGGTATGTGAAAAATAAGGTAAAGCATAATTCTTCCTAATAGATAGCTAATAATAATGTATCCTGGCACACACACTTTGTCAAGATCATCATGAAGGGGACGATATACAATAATAGAAGCATTGTGACTGTGAAGCTATGTGCGTGTTACAGATTTCGGGCAGTTTAGCACTGGTGGTCAGTGGTATGAAGAGTGTCCTCTTTGGCTGATATGCAGCTGTGTTAGCAGAAGTATCTAGGCAAGATACATTTATACCAGTAAAACTGCATTTTTACTGGTATAGCTTAGTAATGTGAATGTAATGTAGGAAGAACCAGGAGGCAATCTGTAGAGCTATGCTGGCTGTTAATTTGAACTACAACTCCCAGAAAACCCCAGGGGCTGGGGGCAAGGGAAAAGGGAAGACGAATTTGAGGCTGGAGTATGGGGAAGGGAGCAGTGTGCATGTGGAACCTGGTCAGCCCTCCATTTCAGTGGAGCTGGAGATCTCACTGGCTCAGTCAGCCAGGACTGTGGACTGAAGGATCGGGACTCAGATTTGGGGGCAGCTGTAGGCTGCTGCTTGAGTGCTCTAAGGACTACAGGCTTGTTTGGGGATGTCTCCAGAGGTGTGTCAGGGAGTGGGGACTGGGGGGAGAAATTAAGTGTATGTTACCACAGTGTTGATGTTTCTTTTACCTTTTACCTGTTCCCTTCCTTTGGCCTGTTGGCTTGTGATGATAACCTGAACAAGTTTCTATCTAAAAGGATGGGTACGTTGGTAACACATAGACAGAACCACAGGTTGCATATCAGGGCACCGTAACTAGGATGTTTGAGACAGGTGTGGCTGTTCTGCAGTAGGACCCTGGATCAGAAAAGTTGTCAGAGCAGACTCGATTAATCAAGTCTGTCTCACATGTGAGCTGATGCACCTGGGGTTGCATCGTATGCATTTGTATAAATGGCGAAATGTGTGTCAGTGCAGAGAAAATGGCAGCGGTGTGCTTTTGAATTAAAACACCTTGGAAGTGTTTTAAAAGTGCCTGGTGCTGTGGCACAAGCATGTGTACAAATGCCCTTAGATAGCCAGGGGATAATATTCAATG